CGCTCTTCCGATCTTGCAGAGGCTGTCGAAAATGCTCAATTTCGTCGACCTGACACTCCAGTTTGAGCACTTAAATATTAGTGGAAAGAGAAACTTGAAGAAAACTAAGAAGACTATCGTGTAGGGCAAGGAATTCTCTGCAAAACGGTATAAAACTCAATGGCAAAACTTTTCTTCTTCAGCGCGATATTTCGAGTGGGGAAAAACGCCATTACTTATGGGCCGACCCAATAGATTTATTTTTTGGTTCCGTATGAATTGATCAACCCTCCAGTTTTCTGGGTTTCTGGGGCACATTTTCATGAACATTCAAGTTTTTTTTTGCTTTGAGTTGTGCACGTGAGCCCTCCATCCGATTCTGTCGTCTTCAATTCAGCAATACATCCTGCCTCTACCACCTCCAATATCGATTATTCGTGATCCAATATTTATTGAGCTCTTGCTTGACTCGTTATTTCATTATGAAGGGCCCAAGGTTTGTGACTTCAAATTTTATAATCGATCTATTTTATTGATCGAATTGATACTGCTGTCTACTTCCCTAAATTTCATCTGAAAATGTTTCTAGACGATTCCTGAGCATCGTTTCAAGTATATCTTCTTGCTGGCATGTGCTGCGTCGGTATCAGAGACAAGGAACAGTAACGGACGACGAACGGTAAGGGTTTAGGGAGAAGTTCGGCTGAGGGGAGGGAGGCGGTTGCGCTTCTCCTGCTTCCCGTCATTGTGTCAAGCCATCCAGTTAGACATGAGTAGTTTTAAGAAGCTATTGATGCCAGTGAAACTTTGTAAAGTCTTCCTATGAACTTTGTAAAGCAGTGAACGATGGGAAGTGGCCAAAATGCAAAAAAAAACTCCTTTCAAGCCGAGTCTAGTACTGGAAGTGGATTCTAGTGGAATAGTCCTTGAAGACATAGACAACCACACGACCCTTGGGATCGAACCCTCCTCAGACGGAGAGTTCTTCCTTCGGTTACCTTATAACAAAATCAGCTGGAAGGGTCACTGAGGCAAACATTCGTTGATCATCATCAAAGTAGGCCGGGGTTGAAGTAAATCAGTAAGCTGTAGTAAATAGCGATCAGCTGTTTTTCATTAGTCTGGACAACGTTTCATTTTACATTTTTTCTGGCCCAAATGTCGTAGTGTGGGTGTGAGCCATGTCCAGGGTACGTCGTACTTTGGAGAATCCCTAGCGGGGGTCGTATGGCGGTTGGGGACTTTTTCTTGGTTAGTAGGAGCAGGGGAGGGATCGTTCAAGACTTCAGAAAAACTTTTGATAGTCGGTTTTTCCTGTTTCAGCGTGCTATTTACATCGTTGGAAAGAATTTCAACCAGGGCACATCGTTGTTGGGGAATCTTCCCACACTAGGGGGGGGTCGTATTTGGTTCGCGGGGAACGGGGTCGTATAAGGGCCTGGTGAGAAAAAATTTATTTGGTGAAGTTGATTTTTTCGCTCGACGGACGTGTGTAAAGCGGGGAGTTCTTGTACGCTCGTTGCTTGGAGGGACGGTCGTGTGATTTAGTTTCTGCGTCTTCTGGCGAGAGGTGCGTTGACTTTTCTGTCTATTTTTCCTGTTTCATGTGTAATAATTGTGTACACAATGTACCTGCTCCCCACCCTGCTCTACGCTCCATGAGGAGGGGCAAAGATCCAGAGGGGGGGGGGGAGACCGGCTCCTACCGGACTCGACCAGAAGCGCCCCAACAATGATGGGCCTGATTTAACCTGGGAACGGCGAGGTCGATATTTCTGTCGTCGTAGGGAGAATACGGAGATGCCGCGGCCTTGAGAATTTTTCTCGAGTCACTTATAAATTTTTGGCACTATTTACCCTTTACTGCCCCAGCCATCCGAAATCAGGCCAGTTCCTGACCGACTTTTTTCTCCGTGGGCAGAATTTGCTGAAAACTTGGCTCCAGGGGTAGTTCGACCCGCTGAACACGAATATCGCATCTCGCTCAGCCCGTAAACTTCCTGGCACCCGCGCACCCGAGGCACCCAGTGATTCTTGGGGTATTTTGGCGCCGGTGCCCGTGGTGCGGGCGCCAGGAGGTTTCGGGTTGAGCGGATGTGATATTCGTGTTCAGGGGGTCAAACTACCCTCTGGGAGCAATACCGCGTTGACCCCAAATTTCCTGGCGCCGCCTGCGCCAAATACTCGGAAATCACCAAATTCACTGAAAATTTGCTCAACCGAAACCTCTGGCGCCCGCACCACGTGGCACCGGCCACTAAAATTACTCCAAATCATTGGCGCCGTGTGCGCGGGGCCAGGAAATTTGTGAAATTGCGAAATGTGATATTGCGTAAATTATTAGAGGCTCAAACTTACCGCCAGAGACAACATTTGAGCAAAATCTGCCCACGGAAAAAGTCGGTGAGGAACTGGCCTCATTTCGGATGACTGGGGCAGTGAATGATAAATAGTGCCATTTTTTAGTTGTCTTTTTCTCTACTTTGCACAAACTTTTCTCGTGTTTGCCCTTTATTATGCTGCGTACCCCCACCCTCCACCTTTCAGCTTTCGAGAAAACAGAATTTTTGGGCAAGAGACTAGCGATTGAAGGAAGTGGTTTAGACTAAAATGGTGAGAGCAAGGAGGAGAGTACATACAAGAGGAGGGAAATTCCGGTCTCTTGAGAGTGAGGGGGAGAGGGCGTATTTTCCACACTTTTCTCTCCCCCCCCCCCCTGACGGCAGGGAGCGATGCCGTCGCGTGCACAGCACACACTATACTAGAACCCTTTTCGTTCGGTGGAAAACACTCAGTATACCGGTCGAACCATCTAGGAGCTAATTCTTGCGTATAATCGCAATTCAGGTTTCCTGACCCTTACTCTTGTACCATAAATAATCGATTTTTCTTTTAAGCAATCACGTCTGGAATTGGATAATTGTCGTCAGTGTCTCGACGATGTCGTCAGTCTTCTGGAGAATATGGATGATCTCCTGGCAGAACTGAACGAACTTCTACATGCCATTAAAATGCCGGTCGTGGCAGCTGGAGTCCTTTATTACGTTCAGACGTTATTATTATCAGAGGAGAAAACCGGTAGGTCCTGGACGTCATGACTTTTTGAACCCCTTACCCTTCAGTCAGTTGGATGATTTGATGTCTAGGAGATCCTCCCGGAGCTGCTTTATGCCTTCTCGACCATATCTCTACTCTTCATCCGAATTTACATGCCAAAGCGTTTGATGTGTGCTGTCAGCTGTACGAGAAGATTGCTGGAGAAAATGAAGCAGCTGAGGTACGAGTTTCCTTGGAACACACGTTCCGTGATGAGCAAATGGGCGGGTACTCGTAACCTGTGCCTTCTTTATTGCTGCTACCCTCGTTTCAGTATTATGAAGAAGTGCGGCGCAACAATGAGGAGGGCGCAATGATTGTGATTCTCCGCCCATTCAGTTGTCGTTTAATGTGTCTTTATTAGTCTTTGTTATGGTTTATGGGGTTGTGTCCATAGCCGGCGAGTTTGCAGCAGGGTGTGTTTGCTATAGTCTTGTTCGCTAAGAACGCTGAGACGTGTCAGGAAGCTGGCTTTGGTAAGGCATCAGTCCGTTTTTCACTAGCTCTTGGAGTCACTGGACAAGCATGGTAGAAATTCGGCCGGCGCCGCGTCTGAAAACCGATCTCTCTCCTCGTTTGACACGTTCCAGCATCCACAGTACTGTATGTTTTCGATAGAAAGTCAGACCTAATGGGACAGCGGCTGCGATCACATTTACCGGGCAGCCCCATCGGTTGCAATACCTATATTTTGCGCGGATATCTAACTGCGAATTCGCCGGCAGGTTCTACAGTCCCAAATTCTCTTTTTCATAGATTTTTCCCTTCTTTTATCATGAGACTGCAGGTGATTATGGAACGTCAACGGCTCGTAGTCGATCGCCTGGTACACCTGCTATCAGTAGGCGGAGCGATCCCAGTACTGGAAAAGGTGTGGGAAATGTTCCGTGATGGACAAATAGACGCGTCTTTAGTGCGATACTTCGCGACAGAGGTGGGTTGAAGCTTCGGCTTCCAATGGACTTGCTTAGGACAGCGTTCAGACTTGTAGCGCTACAGCGTCGCGCTACAGCGTCGCGCTACAGCGTCGCGCTACAGCGTAGCGCTACAAAGAAACATAAAAAAAAAGAAAAAAAAAAGAGGAAAAAGAAAGAGAAAAAAAAAAAAAAAAAAAAAAAAAAAAAAAAAAAAAAAAAAAAAAAAAAAAAAAAAAAAAAAAAAAAAAAAAAAAAAAAAAAAAAAAAAAAAAAAAAAAAAAAAAAAAAAAAAAAAAAAAAAAAAAAAAAAAAAAAAAAAAAAAAAAAAAAAAGGAGAGGGGTGTGAAAAAAAAAAATCGAGTTGTACGAACTCTCCAGCTTTCCTAATGTTTCTTATATTTGTATTCAAACCCCTCTTCCTTTTGGTTTCTCGCTATGTATCTGTAGTGAGCTCTAGTTTTTGATACAGAAACTGTGAATAGTTGGTCATAATTTTAATTTTCTGACTTTAATTATTTGTTTTAAGAGTTCCTATTGATTTTGATGGCCTTGCCTTGATGTCTTGCAGTGAAAGCCGTCACGTGACTCGTTGACGAAATGTTTACTTTATTCACACTTACTACAGAAAAATTTCTAAAGTAGAAAACCAAGGAGCTCACTATCAGGATGAGATATCGAGAAACAAAGGAGAAGAGGATTGAATACAGAGAGAAAAAAACATAAAACGGGGGAAGGTTCGTAAAGCTCGGGGGGGGGGGGGGGGGGGGGGGGGGGGGGGGGGGGGGGGGGGGGGGGGGGGGGGGGGGGGGGGGGGGGGGGGGGGGGGGGGGGGGGGGGGGGGGGGGGGGGGGGGGGGGGGGGGGGGGGGGGGGGGGGGGGGGGGGCTGTAGCGTTCGCGCTGTAGCGCTACAAGTCTGAACGCTGCCTTACGAAAGGTAGCCTGCCAAGGAAAAAATTGGTTTTTGTAGATCCTGGAGATAATCGCACCACCGTTTTCCGATGATCTTATCTCGCTTTTTCTACCATTGGTCAGCGATGAGGAAATTTTCGACAAAGCTGCTCATGTGAGTTCTTCCCTAGAGACCTTATCACATGACGGATTTGTTATTTTAGCAGTATTTGACTATTTCACTAGCGCTGCTTGCCGTAAGGGAGCGAAAGGGGATTTAGTGATGTCCTTGCGTAAAACTAGTGTTGGAAAGATGAGGAGGTGAAGGATAGGTTCGCCTCAGGGGGAAGGATCTTCGGAGTGGATAAACCAGAATCTTTGTATAAAAAAGAGACTTGGCGCTACAGTAATCCCACTTTTGCAGAGGGGCTTCTACAAATGCCACCTCCAAGGCAAACGTCACTTTTTTACAGTATGATTGAAGTAGAGGCTCAGAAACCATCATGAGCCACGGGAGAAGTTTACGCTATTGCAAATATCTCCAAAGCAAATATGAAGAGACGAGTGCTGGGTTATGTCGGATTCTACGATCACTGGCTGGGCGGAGGCTTAGGAACTCTGAAAAGCTCAGTGTCTAAAGCTCGCCAAATGACCTTTTTGAATAGGAGGAAGAAGGAGGGGGGGGGTGGTTGATGTCAATCGTTTGGGTGTTGAGTTGCGCCACGCATTCCCCTTCCGTTCAGAATCGTAATGGCTCTTTACGCGATTTGACCTATGCAGTGACTGGAGGTAGAGAGATCAGCCAGTGCAGAAGTCGGTGTTATTATTTCCACCGGTGAGTCGAGGGAGAGGATCCGAAATTCCCTCTACCTATCCCCATCGCGTGTACGCGTATGCGGGACTACTGGCTCCCACGCCATTTCTTTTCTATGAACAGTAATAGTAATAAAGTAGTAAGTAATAAAGTAATATTGTTTAACCGTTGTTTAGGAGCGCTTTCCAGCTGCTGGAGAGTTTATACAGTACTGCCGTGAACAAATGTCTGCTACGGCCGTTGCTTAACTGTAAGTAATTTCTTCAAGTGTCATTACTTTTCCTCAAAAGAATGTGCCTTTTTCAGAGTCATCAACCAGATGCTCCAGTTGTCTACTCAACAGGGTTCGAAATGCCCCTCCGGAGTCTTCCACGCCTTTGGGCTAACGAGTTTCACTGGTACTAGACCTTCTACTAGGAATAACCGGTCTATTAAACGTCAAGCTCATCCAGCCGGTTTGTGGACCGTCCTCTGGACCATGCCAATTTTCTACTCACGCTCTCTTAGGCAGCGTTCAGACTCCACGACGACGCGATCGATGCGGTTGAAAGTACATGCATCGATCGCTTCTAACGCGCGACTGAAGCGCTGCCTTCGCGAATTCTTAACGCCTTCCTTACGTGGGTAATGTCCTGTGACCTTGTGCCCTTGTACATTCCAAATCTTCACTCTGATATGTGATTCGCCCACCTCGGCCTCCCTGCGCTTGATTACGTCTACCTCCGAGTTTAT